GTGGTGCAGGAAGCTGACCTCATGTATGGCTGGTAAGGCCATGTGTCTTGGCCACAGGCAGTTCCAGCCAGTTGGAGGGAAAGCAGGCTGTACAGCTGGGGTGGCTTTGCGGTGCATTGGGCTGGCAGTCCGGAGGCAGCGGTTGTTTTCCTTGCTGTGTCGTTGGGGCACTTCCCCTCGGTGCCTTGGTTTCCCCACCTCCGCTGTCCGGATGGTGATGTATCTCACCTGTCTGGGTGGTGGGAGAGTAAATTCATTAGCATCTGGAAAAGGCTGTGCTTCTTTGATGCCCAGCACTGCAGAAGCAATAGGGTATGAAATAATTAGTTGCTGCCTTGCTACGCTGCTGAGGGCATGGGTGTGGTGGGTCCCCACCTTGCTCAGCAAAGAGGCACTGGGCTGCTTTGCCTGGGCTGAGTCTGCCCTGGTGAGAGAAAGGCTGGGCCCTAGGGAGCTGGGAGCCTGTGATGCTTCCCCATGGCCTGGCTTTGATCTGCTTCTCTGTTTGCGGAGGCATGGGCTCACTCCAGTAGGGCAAAGGGCTGATGAAACAAATCCCGTGCTGGGTGGAGTCCTTCAGAGATGAGGGCTGAAAACCCAGGGTGCTGGCTGGCTTCTTCCTCCTCAGCATTGCTGTTCCCGTGTCCTCCCCACCTTTGCTGTGCTCCATGCCAGAAGTCGTTTTGTTTCCGGCTCATTTGGGAGGATGCATGCTGCAGACACGTGGGGTGATTCTGGCTAGGACTGCTTCCAGGGCTGCCGGCTCTTGGATTCGGTTCTCTCAGCACCCAGGGAACTTTGCAGCTTAGCACCTGCATCGCTTTCCCCTTGCTGCTTGTCCAGCTGTGTGTGGTGTGTATACACAGTCGCTCAGCCCTGCCTCTGGGCAGGCTTCTTGGGCCCCGAAGGGTGGGGAAGGGCTCTGAAATGCTGTTGGGGAAACACAACTGGGGCAGCCTCAGCCTGGCACCTGCTCAGTGGGTTAGAGGTGCACTTACCATGGGGAGCCTGAGTCCAAGCCTGGCTTGGATGACCCTGCAGGCAGGAGGCGAGCTGAGGGGGCGGCCATGTGCAGCTGTTGTGAGGGCAATCCTGACACAGCTTTTGTTTTTTCCACTGTAGCCCGTGCTTGTACTCCAGGGGTCAGCAACCCACAGCACACGTGCCAAGCACAGCACGCAAGGCCATTTTGCTCGGCACACCACTGCCAGCCCGGGCTCTAAGCAGCTGCTGCCAGCCACGGAGCCCAGGCTGCTCCCAGCAGGCGGCTGGGAGGCTGCAAGCCGTGCGCAAGCAGACCGGGCTCCATGGGCCAGCTGCAGCCAGGAGGCTGCAAACAGATGCTACCGTCTCTGGCAAGTCGGCGCTCCGGCACCTTCCAAAGTAGACGTTGTTTTTTTTTGGCACTCCAGCCAAAAAACGTTGCCTACCCCTGTTGTACTGTGAACTCTGAGGGTGGCAGGGCGAGTGGGAGAAGGAGGGGTGCGGGAGGGGCACCTGGAGGGGCATCTGCAAGGACAGAATGTGCTGACACTGCTGAAGCCGAGGCGCGCTCTGCTCCCTGCCCTCCTGCGTGGAGCCCTGCAAGCCCGTTGCTGGCCTTGCCAATGCTGTGCTGTAGCTGAATGGCACTACTGGAGGAAGAAGCTTCCCTTGGTGGTGGCAACTCAATACTGGGGGGATGCCCATGCCTGTTACCAAGCCTCTAGCTTCCATGCACGTGGGCAGGAAACCAGGCATGCTGATGCTGTTCCAGGCTCCTGGCCCTTGCTGCAGTGAGGTGTGGCCCCGTGGCAGGGCAGGGGCAGTTCAGGAGCTCCACATTGGCCACTCGGGCTTGGCCCATGTTCATGTACTGGGATCTCCTAGAGGATTGAACTCTGACCAGCTAAGGCTGCTTTGCTGCTGAGTGAGGGCTTCTATGTGGGGTTGTAATAAGCTTTAACTCAGAGCTTCCAGCCTTTCCTGGCCTGGGGGCAACCATGCTGAGGAAGTAATGTCCAGTCAGCAACATCCTCCATCACTCCCTCAGGGCAGTCTTGTTTTTCACTCATTTTTCTGCATACACAAGGAACTTTGGAGGGTTTTGAGGGCAGTATCTTATATGCAGGGATCCTGGTTTTCTCTGATTTAAAAAAAAAAATCCCCAATTTTCAGGTTAAATTACTCAAAATGCACATTTTTCCATTATTAAAATGAAACACCAGTAATACATAGATAGATAGCTAGATAAATAACTTTACATTTAGTGGTGTTTCATTTTGATCACATGAAAATGTGTTTTTTGGGTTACTTTTTTAACCCCAAAATTAGGGATTTTTTTAATCGGAGAAAACCAGGATCCCTGCTTGTGAGTCCCATGGGTTAGGTCTGCTGTGCTGCCTGCTAGAGCAGGGGCTCTGGACCCAGTGATCTCAGGAGGTCCCTTCCAGCTCTAAACTTCTGTGACTCTGTTAAGTACTGGTTTCACACCTTTCATTCACTTATCCTTGCTTCCCCAGTGCCTGCCTATAGACCAGTCACTGAGAACTGGCTGGGCTGGTCAAGGGAAGGCTGTTTTGGGGCCTGGTCAAGGGAAGGTGAGAAGCACTTCATGATAGTATCATGAGGCTGATTAGACTGAGCTTTTTCCAGGGGGGTTGGCGCTCATCAGGAAAGGGGAAAGGACACCATCACTCCCAACAACTAAGCTGACATATGGGCATAGGGAGTTCTCTAGCCCTTTTTCCTATACCCAGCCCAGAATCTTGCTCTGCTCCATCAAGAGGCACCATGGGAGTCCACTCAGTGGTTTGAGGACCTGGTTCAGTCCCCCTGGCCAGGAGATGAGAAAACAGTGAGAAGGAGTGTGAGATGGCAGGTCTATGCCCTGGGTGAGCAGGTAACAATCCTTGTCTCCCTGTTTTCCGCTGAGAAGGGCTCATCTGGAGGTGTCCTGGTGGCTGGCTGGGTTTTGTCATGGAGTTCGCAGGGTTGGCCATGCCAAGCTGGGCTGCTGGCCTGCCAGGTTCTGTCCACCTGCCTCCTCTACCTGTTGCTCTAACGCAGGGGGAGACCCTTGCCTACATCCTGTGTGCCAGTCGGGCTGTGCTGGAGTGTGTGGGGTGAAAAGGATCCTGGGGATGTAATTCTGGCAGAGCCAAGATGCTGCCTGGGGCTGTATCTTCTCTGTGCCATGCCCTGCTGGAGATGCTGACTACTGTTGTGGAGTTCAACAGGATTATTCCTGGTGAACCCAGCTGGAGATCTGAGGTTGGGATGTGTCTTCCTTTTGGAAATGCAAAACTCTCGGTTCAGAGATGTTACCTTTTATTAGACCAACTAAGAAATTGCAAAAAAAACCCTGTCTTTTTCTGCAAGCTTTTGGGCTCACACACCCTTTATTAGGCTCAGGGAAAATTAAAGATGGTAAAAAGTCCCCTTTTGGAACACCTCATCTGAGGAGGCAAATGGGAAGCAAAAGGTTTAGCTGATGCTTCCCCTGTGTAGATGGTATCTTCATGTGCCATCTCACTAAGGGGTGTTTGGTTCTGGTAGATCAAGGGGGAGAGACACCAGGTTGAGGATGTGCCAGTAGATATGGAAACCCCTGGTGCTGTCAGACAGTGTTTGGGGCTGCTCAGGGGTCCCTGAATCTTGCTGGGAATGCAGTAGAGTTATAGCTCTCCTTATGCCCCCATCCCTTTGTTTGTATTGAGCTGGAGCTTTGAGACTCCAGGGTGTCCCTATAGCTTTAGGGGAGGAGGTGGAGACTACAGGGCAGAGATGGGATGGGCCTGAGACCTTTCTCATGGCAGCTGTAAATCACTGGACTCTTCTTCCCACCCTTTCTTCACTGAGATGAAAAGGGGAGAGAGGCCCATTGTCTTGGCTGGTGTGGTGGGGGAGGTGGGGAGGGCAAGTGGGGCTGACCTCTGAAGAATGGCCTGCAGGGTCTTTGCTGCTTGGGTTTGCTGCTGGAGTGGGCATGCAACATAGCTGTCAGCTCCAGGGTGTGGTTGCAGGGGTTTGTGGTGGGGAGGTGGGGTTTCCAACCGGTCCATGGCTGTGTGCAGCTCCAGGCTTGCATGGCCCTGGGATGCCTCACTGAGGTAGTCATGGAGGTGCAGTTCAGACCCACCCAGAATAGCAAGTGTGGGGTTGCAGTGCCCACCCCTTGCTTGCCTTGGCTCCATGCACAGCCTGTACAGACATTATCTGTTGCTGCCTAGGCAGGGAAAGGGATGTGGGAAGTACTTTAACACTTCACTTACCTGGTTTGGGAAGCTTCACTGTAAGCCCCCATCTAGCCCACTTCCAAGGCTCTAATTCTATAGGCCCATCAGCCTGACTTTTCTATCCCGGGGAAGATCTTAGAAAAGTTTAGTAAAGATGTCATCCTTAATGGACTGGCTGACACCAACATCCTAAGGGATAGCCAGCACGGGTTTGTTGCGGGTAGGTCTTGCTAGACTGATCTCATTTCCTTCTACGACCAGGTGACCTATCACCTGGGCAAGGAAGAAGAGATTGATGTCATATATCTTGACTTCAAAAAAGCCTTCGATCTGGTATCCCATGATCACCTCTTGGCAAAACTGGCCAGTTGTGGCCTTGGGTCCACCACGATCCACTGGCTGGGAAATTGGCTCCGTGGTC